ATCACCTTTCCTTTGATGAACCTGTAATATGAATAGAAACAGAGAAGGGCGTCAAGGTTAACAAGTTTAAGAAAGATCTCATGGATTATAAGTGACACATATTGGTATAAAATTATTATCTTCTTAACCATTTTGGGAAACCGTGGATTAGGGCTTCGTGGTATGCAAAATCAGGTTCGATTAAAATCTTGCAATAATCAAGATAATTAGACTTGTTCGCTGAATAAAATCTTCAAAGAGTTAGATTCTAAAACACAAAGTTTTTACGTTGTGGCTAAGATGGAAAACGTTTCCAGCCTCCAAGAAATGACTGCATAATTTTTACACTCTATTTCAAAATAACACTGAACTTTTTGAATGACTGTTTGAGTTTGCTTTATACTGAAAATTCCCGCTTCAGTTTCAAGAATAGTAGCCGCATATCTGCTCTGACTGTTTTTTGAAGTCACGGTAGATACAATTGAAACAAATCATGAACTCACGGCCTCAGGAGGCCTTAGTATTTGCAATAGTTTTAAACGTCTTACCTAACACGTCCATATCCTCTCCTTGTACGGAAAACTAACGTTCTTCCTCTACGAACAAGCCTCCTCCAACGGTTTCGGAACTTGAAGCGCATAACACAGCGTCGTCGCCTTATTTTTTGTCTTCTTCGTCTTCTTCTCCTCTTTCGCCTTCTTATCCTTCGCCTTCTTCGTCTCCTTCTTCTCCTTCTCCTTCTACGTCGTCTTCTTCTGGACTTCCTTCGTCTTCGTCTTCGATTCCTTTTCCGTAGTCTCCTATTCGCTCGTTTTCCTCTTCTTCTTCGACTTGTGATATATCGCCAGTGTCTACGCATACGGACCCTTGGTCGGCCTCGATAGAAGTTCAAGACCCTTATCCTATTTCTGAATCGGACGCCAAATCTTCGACCGAACCGGACCATTCGCAGCCATTTCCTTCCCATTCGGATGTTGACTTGGTAATTTCTTTTTATCCAACGCCTTCCAAACTTGATGTAAGTTATACCCCTGGTGAACCTTATAGTAATGTGTAAAAGGAAAACAATTTAAAAATCTATGTGACGCTACTTTTATTTCGAATTCGAACTTCCCACAACGACGCTTTTTTAAATGTTGGATTGAATGTGTAATTGTTTCGTCACTATTAGACTCAAATCACCGAGACAGTAAATGATTCCAGTAAGCCTGTTCATCTTTATCCATCGTATACAGTGATAAGCTTGCTCAGAATGATTCCAAAAGTGGGCGTTTCTGGTGGCTGTCACTCGCGTTTTCACGACCAGAGGGAAGTCATCACTAGAGCTAACTGTATACGCCCTTTATCAGCAAAATGAATTAGATCCACAGAAATGGTTTTGTCTTAGAAACTCGAGTTCTTTAAATACACAGAAATCACAATCAATCACTGTGTACTTTTCAAGGTTCTAACTATAGAACATTTAAGAGTGCATGTAATGCACATTGGTTGAAACAACACCAACTGAAAGGGACTGTCCAATTTGAATAAACACCCTTCCAGAAAGTACGAATACGTACGTCACAATAAAATCAAAGAACCATTTGCTACACTACCTGATAAGCCTTAAAACTCTTCCGAATCGTATCTTCAAAACACCTCTTTCCCTAATGATAGGAAGCCAGCGTCGTTTACGGCGGACTCGCATGACGCATCTTCGAAGCTGTCTACGTGTTCTCATTCTTCGCCGTCTTCGCCTTCTCCTGTACCTTCGTTTTCGCCTCATTTGCCTTCTTCGTTGCCTTCTCCTCCGTCTCTTGATCCTTCGCCTCTTTCTTGTCCTCCTACTGACTCTTTTTCTGATTAACCTCCAACGTTTTCCGATTCTGATTCTAGGAAATCCTCCGTAGAGTCCTACCCTTCGATATCTGCGTCCGTATTTAACAAACAAGTTGCGACCCTTCTTACGTATCAGTCTCCAAACGCCCCTGATATAGACTCGCAGGCGATACCCCAGATTACGGACTAGAATCCATCTTCTTTTTAACCTGAGCCTGAGTACTCCGCGATGGTAACTGAAACAAGAGAAGGTACAGTTCTAATTTTACTACAATTGGCGTAATGTCGCGATCCGATTGGCCAATTTATTGTCGTTGATAAGAGTTGAAACAACGCAGCTCGCGTCAACGTGTCGCGCTATGTGTCACGCTATGAAAAAATCCTTTCATTTGCAGTCGATATTGTGGTAAAAAACATGTCGAGAGTGGGTGGGCGTGGACTGTACTCTTCCCGACAACGACATTCGTCGTCACATTTGTCGATAAAGGTACAGACCACACTAAACCACTGTCGATTTGTTAATTCGTTTTTATTCGTTGGATACGATGCAATGGATAGTTCCGTCAGAAAGGTGTCCTAAAGGCTTATAAATTTATCGTGATATTTTAGTCTTCTCTTTTTAATCTTCTCTTTTTCCACTCTCTTATAAAACAGCATAAAGCAAAAACCGTAGATTTTCACCTTGTAGCGTCAATAAAAAACTGACTTCCTAAAGTATAACTGTGAAGCCCTTATCTTTCCACATGCTTACCACTTGCCAATCAATTTTAAAGCGTAAGACAGTGGAAAGCCAGGCCACCTTCCCGAATTTACCCACCTATTCGGAAAAGGATTTCTGGAACCTCTGAACTGAACGGAAACTATACCAAGGAAGCCTTTGGCCCCATAATCCCAGACATCCACCAACAGACAGTTTTGTACATAGTAACGACAATCAATTTAAAGAAAATTGCGTAAAGCACCATGAATCGAAAGACTAAAGAGACAGGATTTCCTCACCTTAAATAGTGGAGTTTTCCGTGAAATCGGAAAAAAAAGCTTTTCTTCCATCTGAAGATCCTTCTCCAGCCTCTTCTATAACGGAAACGCAGCACACAGCGGCGTTTTCGCCTCAAAAGCTGTCTTCGTCTTCTTCGACGTCGCCTTTGTCTCCGTCGTCGTCTTCTCGCCTTTCTCCTAAATCGTCGTCTTCTTCTCCTGAGTCTTCTTCTCAGTCTCTTCTTTCTTCCTCGTCTTCCATAGCCGCCTCTTCTACGCCTTCTTCGCCGCCTTCTACGACGTCGCCTACGACGTCTTCTTCGCCGCCTTCGCTTACGCCTTCGTTGTCGTCTTCTTTTCCTTCTTCTTATCTTTTTGAGTTGTCTTCGTCGCATCTTTCGTAGCCTTCTTAGCCTCCTCAAGTATTTCTTCGAGTACCTTACTGTCCGCCTTCTTCCTCGGTACCTTAGTCCTTTCCATCCTTTACGCGTCAAAACTCTCACTCGCCCTCTCGTTAATCGGATTTGTTTACCTTTGGCATAAAGTCTGCGACCAATTCGCCGCAGCTTTGCCCACCTTCTCCCTACAAACACTCGTATTCGGGGACTTGTCTGGAGAACCCATTTATTTTTACGGCGGATAAATAATCGTCGATTCGCGTACCTATAATTTCGAAGATGAGAGGAATATTTTTATAATCATTAAAAAATTGTGATACGGAATTATGTTAGGTCTGGTTTAAATATTAAAATTCTTAAAAAGCTGGCATCTCAAGCGTTGGCCCTTCTTCCGAGGAAATTACGGATTGTGGGTGGTGTAGTTGCGTTTCTGTGGAGCTATGCTATGAAGTGGACAGATTAACAGATGATACCTGAATACAGAAATCGATTTAATGTAAGTCGCTCATTAATTCCAAAGAGAGCCCGGTGTCGATTTGTAAAGAAACAGCATCGTTGGAAAGTTTCTTTTTGTTGTTTTCAATATTCTGTGTTGCTTTGGTGGAAAGATAGTCCACAGACATATGGTTTCAAAAAAAAATTACCAGGAAAATAAAAACGAGCAAAGAGGCATTGATGTTGTTGCTTTGAGGTTTCTCCAATGTTTGCGAAAACGATCCTCTACTCTATTCTCTACCCTAAAAGTCTCCCAATTTGCTCCGAGAAAAGGGTAACGATTGAAACGTCAGACTTCGTTTAGAGCGGTTTATCTACCTTTATCAACTTAGTTAATTAAGGTGATGCAATACCACAGTTTCTTTATGGATCAATATCTTCGCTCAATTTAAATGTATGATCACCGATATGATTCAATTTTGCTATAGTATAATTTATTGTGTACAGACAAACTCTCTTTGAAATGATGTGTCAATTTTGATTCACAGTTTCAAAGACAAGCTCCCATTTTTAACGACATAAAAGTCCATGATAGCGTCCGATCAACACTGAATTTTCAACATACCTCACTTTCATATATCGCCTATTGAACCGCATCATCAGCCGACCTCCTCTACGATACACTGGTCTCAATCGACCGTGATAACGAATACGCAACACACATCGTGATCGCCGCGTGCGCCTTCTTCTTCGTTGTCTTCTTATTTTTCTTCGTTGCCTTCGGCGCCGCCTCCGCAGTCTTCTTTGTCGTCGCCTTCGTCTCCGTCTTCTCATTCGCCTTCTTCGCCGTCGTTGTCGCCTCCTTTTCCTGCGAAGGATTCTTCTTCTTGAATATCTCCTTCGCCTCGTTAATGTTTTCCATCTTTTCCCGGTGAACACCTTCAGTCGCTTCTTTGTTATCAACACAGGTCTTGATCTTCTTCCCCACGTGATCCTCAATTTCTGGCGCCTCAGCGTTATTCTCCTCCATACAAGACCGACTTTCACCTTGAGCCGTTTATTAATTGGGTGATATCTTCCCCGTCGTCCAATTTTTACACGGGACCCTCGTGGTCTAAAAGATAAAATAACTCCAGTTATTTCATGGGGGGCCTGGTTTAATCCTTGTCTGATTTTAAACAGTGTGCACTGCATAACATGCATTTGAAAATCATTGGTTATCCTTGCAATCTGATCGACTCTGAACAAGACAATTTAGTCACAGTTCGCACTTCTTTTGGCTCTAAGTGGCATCGGAATGGAACACAAAAACCAAACGATTAACCAGTCAAACTTCGAATTTTTTTGAAGGAACCCATCAAATTGCAAGAAAAAGAGAAGGGAAATGAAACAAGAAATGATACCTGTTTAATATTAATTCAAACTCACACGTTGAGTTCTCACGATTTTCAACTAACGGATGTGATTCCCGACCAAACTACCCTCCATTAAGTAAATTTAACCGGGTGAATAGTTGGTTAATTATCATTATTTACTATTTCCAACACTGTTTGGGAATATATGGAAATCATATATCTGAACTGCAGTTAAGATATATGACTTCCATATATTCACAACCGGTGACTTATCACTTCACGAGTTTATTACGAACCAACATAATGACCAGCTTCCAGTTGGTTTGTTGGCTCAGTTGGTAGAGCACTGCACCGGTATCGCAAATGTCATTGGTTCCAATCCCGTACAGGCCTGAATTTGTTTTTAGGCCTTACTATTTTCACTACTGCTCAAGTAGAGGTCGTTACTGCCAAGATCGCTCTCATACTTATCTCCAACACTATTCGTCTTAATTGAACTTTTACTTTTTTCAATTGTCAATTTGGTTATGTATAGTGCAAATATTTAAAAACCTTACATTGCAAGTTCCCTAACTACTTTGAAAGTGTTAAAGAAGTTCTCCAACCCACAACTGTCAATATATAATTGCTAGATGGTACCTCCATGACCGCAGTCTTCGTCCTATTTTGATAAGGAAACGCCTGCCTCTTCGCACGATTCGTCTCCACCTGCGGCCATACCGGTAGCGCATCACGCACCTTGGTCTCCTCCTTCTCAATTTTCTGCGCCTCCTTCGTCGCCTTCTACGACGCCGTCGTTGTCGTCGTCGTTGCCGTCTCCTTCGCCTTCGTCTCCTTCGTTGTCTCCGTCGTCGTCGCCTCAGACGTTTTCTACGTTTGACGAGCTTTCGCCGTTGTCTTCGTAGCCGTCCAATTCTTCTCCAACCTATTCTGTATAGCACTCTGACTTGACCTCCTCTCAATATTCTGATCTTTCTGAACCTCCTTCCTTTACGAATGCACAATCTTCTGTGACGAACCGTTAGACGAGTCCAATGACGTCCCGACCAGATCTTTACCCTATTTCGTAACCTTCGGATTAGACGCCATCGTCCCCTCCGCGTCCTCACATACACTGTACCTCTGGAATACCTGAGTTTAAGTTTAAACCAAAATACATACGTTTAAAATACTGCCATTGAAAGAAGCTCATTTTGTTGAAAGGCCTCCCATCGAAAAAAAAAACCGAAAACAAAAAAAGATAAGAATTCTTGCGACATTCATTCATTTGTGGGGGATATTTCAATAACAAAACGCATTGCGGTAAGAGCTATTGCGGAGACAGCATCGTTTTCTTACAATACATCTAACTGTACCAGAATGCTTTCTTACTTGAAACCCATGAAAAACTTTCCACTTCGGAAGAAAAGTCTTCCCTTCCTTCGGAACACTTTCCTCCAGCGATTGCCATATCGGAACAGAATGAGTCTTCTTCGTCTTCTAATTCTTCTCCGCCTTCGTCTTCGTCTTTGTCTTCGTCTTCTTCGTCTGTATCTCCTTCGTCGCCTTCGTCGTTTTCGTCGTCTTCTAGCTCTTCGTCTTCTGCGTCTTCGTTTCCTAACCCTGTTCCTTTTGAGTTTTTTATATCGCCTTCGCCCTTTAAAGCTGATCCATTTCCTATTGTACCTCAGTTTTATAACTCTTCCAAGTCTTACCATTCTGTACTTTCTCACGTATTTTATGAACAGCCGTCTTCGCCTTACTAGCACGTACCGCCACCTCCTTGCAAAATACATCATCAGCCGCCTCTGTAAGGAGGTTTTTCTTCCACCCACTCTTTCTGATCTTTTCTGGAACCTAAACAAGAAAACTAAACTGTTAGTCCTAGAAATAAGGTAAGTTGTTCTTACTCGTTACTTTCAACGGACAACACAATTATCAATTTTACTAATCCAGTAGATGTTTTAGACTTTCAAATTACTTTTCCAGTCAAGTACTAATGTACAGCACCAGAAAATGAGGAGACAGCAACGGATAATCATTGGCTTAGACACGTCGATTCGTATTAAACCGTTTCTAGTTTTAGACGGAAACGGAGGACTCTTTCTTTCGAGGAGAAACGATTTATTTTTTCTTTCAAAGTCGACTCCATTGACAAAACTTATCGACGCGCTCTCTTCTATCACACTGCTTTCGCTCAGGACATCATATCAGGGTTAGCCCTCAAGTGAACAGCTATGCAGATTACAGACTTCCATCAGATAGACTGTCTTCAAACTACTAAAAGAAATTGACAAATCACAAGGCCTGAATCAATAGCCTCCTCTTTGAGCTTACGTTGCAACTTCCTTAACACTTTGCAGAAATATGAGTCCTGATTGGCTGAGTGCACTCAAAGATTGGATCACTAGACTCTTTTTGGTTATGGGCGCATAAAGCTGACATTTAGGGTGTTTCTAAGAGACCGGGGTATTTCTATGGTAAACTTATAACACAAAAAAACATTCTTCAAGTGCCCAGAAAAAAATTGAGCTCTTGATTGATACCATTTTAAAGGAAATAACCCAAAAATTAGGCAGAATCAACTCATCGAGTAATAACAGTTTCACAATAGCCAAATCATTTGGAGCCACATTTCGTTTGGAAACGTGAAATGGTATCTGGTTCACACGAATCACTGCCATTTTGTCAAAGGGTATTCATTGAGAGTTTCGCGAGGAGCATGTCGTTACGAACGTTCCGTCGGTCTGCTTTTGAAAAAACTGTTACAACTTTCGCCATTAACAGCCTTTTCCCTTAAAGGTGCTAAAAGATCTTTAGGCAGAGATCGAGTCTTAGTGACTTGAGTCAGCCTTGTTTTGTTGACTTTGCTCTCGCTTGTTATCTACAGCGCTTTCCTCTGGAAGCCTGTTCAAACCAAGTTGAAAGTTGTTGGATTTGTTTATTTGTTACCCAGTTTTCTTGCATGTTTATATACAGGTCTTTCGAACCTTTTCTTCGAAATCGACTTCAAGGGACATTTTGAAAACTGAAAATTTCCAGACGTAGTGGGCCAGACGGTAGAGTGAGCAAGTAAGGCGCTTGCATTTTCCCAGAGATATGATAACTGCTTTTCGACCTCCTTTCCAAGATCTGTTTCGAAGTTATGCTTCAATGAAATATCTGTTACTTACATAGTGCTGGACAGATAAACTACGTTTCTCAATAGTCAAAATTGCCAAAATAGTCAAAATTCTTGTTATTCCTTTAAGCACATTAAAGAGCCTGTATGTAACAGAAATGAAAAATAAAGAAGATTTTACGTATGATGCACGATCCTCGCAGTAGAGAGCGCTATTTATGTAATAGCGAAAATCAGACCTGAAAAAAATCAGGCCTATACGGGATTCGAACCACTGACCTCTGCGATACAAGTGCAGCGATCTACCAATTGAGCTAAATTGAGCCAATTGTGCATATATTCATTGTAACCAAAGAAGATTTTGTAAAAATCGTTAAAATAGAAAGAAATTGGCGTTTTTAGAAAAAGAAAATCGTTCTGAACGGCCTTGAAGAACTTTTTGTGAGAACACCTGACTTCTAAATCCAGCCGTAAACTTCACAGCAGAAACTTTGAAATGTCTGCCCAAAGTGCACTTCTAGGCCTCAGATGGCACTTGTTATTTTGTGATTTTTGCACACTTCCCAGTAATTTTTAATAAACATTGTTTAGGAACTCCAAAATTTTGCTTTGTTTGCAGTAGATACACAACTCACAAGCTACCTTATCGTCAGCCATCGACGGCCATAAAGGAATTTCCATCTTCCTCCAATTCTGCGCACAGGCCTGAAGCGGCCTCCGTATTTGAATCGAACTACAGAGCGTTTGAGCTGCCTCCGTCTCCTTCGCAATCTTCGTCTTCGTCTGCGTATTCTGCGTCGTCTTCGTCGCCGTCTCCTTCGCCTTTGCCGTCGCCTTCGACGTCTTAAACGTCTAATAATTCTCAATCGCCGCCTCTGACGTCGTCCTAACAAATATTTTCAAGAAAGCAAACTTTAGTACATGTTGAATTAAAAGACTTAGCTCAGAGGCTGATACTTAATAAGACAAATCGCCATCAACCCCATTAGTTTCATACCAACACTAGAATATGCACTCAATGACTGGTGATCTCCCAAAATTTCAGTAAGCCAGGTGTTGTCTTATTAAAAAAATCGCGAGTTAAATTAAAAGATCACAGAAATTTATTCTTGGCGAGTGCTCTATGCTATAACCTCAGTCATACAAGGGTATAAGCAATTTCAGAATGTTACTTCTCCTGCAACTAAAATGAGTTGAATTCAAGTGACATTTTCAGCAAAAGCTATATTAGGGCTGCGCTGTTTCCTGCTCTAAGGAGTATTTTTTACATGATACATTTTAGATTTCGGTCGCGTGGTTTTGAGTATTGCTCTCTATTCGGAAGTTCATGAATCAGTACATTAACTCTCACGGAAACCACGTTATCTAAAAAGACAATCGCCATATAAGACGTATTGTAAAGAAAAGAAGAAATTCGGATGAGATTTGTTACAACAGTCGATCTATTCTAAGATATTTAAAGGATTCGGCATTCTGAAGCGACAAAAGGTAACATAAGGCAACAAAAGGCATAATCAAAACTTTACTATAACTAGGGAGGAAGCATTGACAGTGTTAAAATGGGTCGTTTCTGTGAAGTTCATCGTGGTACTGTTGATGCCTCAGTGGCTGAGTGATTTGTCGACAACCTGTCGAGTCATTTTTGATTCTTTTCAACACAATAGGAGCGGGCTTCATGGTTTCGCTCTCATAGTAGGATTACCGAACAGAGAAAACTCGGCCCGTAACTTAAAGTGAGGGCTGAGAAATGTTCTCCTCACCTCGTCTTCTGGGCGGTCTATATCGGATCCTTCTGGATCTTTTCCATTTCCCGCGCCATAGGATACGTGCACGCCGACCTTTTCTTTTCACCGTAACTCTTCTTCCCTTGTAGTTAAAAAACAGCTTATAGCGGGGATTCAGAAGCCGAACTTTTCGACCAATCTTCACATAGTATTTAGTCCTGATACGCCTCAAAGGTCTGAAACGTTTCAAAAGATAAATTTTAAATGTTCTGAAATTGCGACGGAGAAGCCTCAAGCGACGTTTGTACGATATATACCAACGTCGCCCTTTGCGACGGACAAAACGCCATCGTCGACCAACCAAAACATAACATCGGCCTCTACGATATCGCAAACGACGCCACTTCCGCATGAACTTGATCCTTAGTCGTTTTGTGATCTTGCGTATCTTTCGAATACGTCCTCCAATTCTCACACGATATAAAGGTCTTCCTCGTCTTAAACCAAAGTAACGTTTTCTGAACAATATTCTGGGCCTCCTCATTCCTAATACAAGATAAAAAAGAAAGAAGAATACTTAAGAGCGCACTTAACTTACACGCCTGTTATAACCTGGTGTGAGGAGCCACAGCAAAATAGCTTGCTGTTATCTCATAAAGAATACTCACTTCTTCTTCCTCGGTAGGTTCGCCGTCGCACTGCAAAAAAAATTGAAAATGTTCATTAAAAGATAAACGATGATCGATCAACTGACTGCCTGACTACCTCACTCTCTCACCCACATACTTACTCACC